AAGAAATAGCCACATTATTCAGTTTCCTTAAATAATTTGTTCATCTGAGTTCTTTATTGAAAAGGCTGATTTTGTCAGAATTAAAGAGAGAGATGTGTTTTCCCCTACATATCCAACTCCTTATCTTAAGATTTCATTCAGATTCTTAAACTGGTATTTTCCTATATGATGTATAATTTTATGTTTATGTTATCTTTTACTTTTCAGAATGTTTAAATATTTCTAATATTTTATAGTATATATTTTTGTAAGTTAAGAAAAATACTATTTCGTTTTTTTAAAAAAAGGCTTCTGATAGAATTTTGAAAGGCAAAATATACACACTCCTGAAGGCAAGTGGAATTGCACTGCCATTGTGAAGATCTCCCCACCTCACATATTTCTGAACATGTCTTCTTGCTAATTTGTTCTCTGGTCTGGCAGTAGGGCTCTGCCTCTGAAATCTCCATCAGTCTTACATAGAGCAGATCAGCCCACAGAAAATGGATTCCCTCCAGATGTCTTGGAGTACAACTTGTAATCTCCAACCAATATGGACATTGGATATACTTGTGACCCAACACAGCTGGAAGGCTTTAAACTGTGGGAAGCTGATGTTGACTAAAATGCACGTTTCTCTTAATCGCTTGGTAATCTGATGGGATTCCTGTAGATGATTAATGCCATTCCCTGCTCAGTCTTAATCATGACTCAGGTATTGATTCTTTGTTATTCTGTTACTCTGACTAGTAACTGATAGCTCACAGGGAAAACTTTTTGTTCAAAACAATATTTGCTGATGATTTATTATAATGGATGAGTTCACTGTGTTCATGCTGGGGAGAGAGGGTTTGCAAGAAAAAGGCAGACATTTGAGCTTTTACTATCCTTTTAGCCAAAATGTACACTATATTTCCCTGAATTGATTCCCTGGAATTTTTAAAAGTTCTATCAGAACGTTATGGAAAAATAATTAAAGTGCATATCTCCCACATAGCCCTAGTCAGCATATTGCTCCCCACACCCATAGCTCTAAAATCACATGAAACTGAGGAGAGAATGGGCTCACATGGATGTTATGGGCAACCATTTATAGCAATGAATAATATAATTGACTATATAGTTCAGAAACCCCAATCTGTTTCTGATGCTGAAGCTTCAATGCACAGTTGGAGCTTCACAGACCAAAATGACTTGTTTAAATGAACTCCCTTTGAAATGAATGTTTTTTAAATATATGCCACCAGCTTGTTCTTTAGCAAGACTGGAGAACATTTGTCCTTCCAACTCTCATCCAACAGGAGCATAGGTCAAGAATCATGGAACCTCTTGACCAATAATATCCAGGGTGCTATAGATGATTAACCCTCTTCAATTCACTTGAGCACATATGGAATATTCCAGTTAGATAACAGAAGCTAAAATAATTGGGAGTATCAAGCATCTATCTAAATTTGATTCTATAATTAGGGTTGTATTTATAAACCAAGTACCACAGGATATGGCTTTTAGTCCTTCTGCTGTCCAAAACCATCCTGAGTCCTGTGAAGTAGGCGCTATATGAATTTCTGCATAAATAAATAAATAAATAAATAAATATTCTGTCACATATAATCATTAATTGTATAAGTGCGGACTATTTTTTCACACAACCTTATGCTAGTGGCTTATCTTTGCCTGGCTGATGCATAATTTATTCTTGAGATAACATAAAATTCAATTCAAAATGTTACTCAACTAGAAATTAGTAACAGATCTGGCTACATGACGGTCTCAAAGGCTCACCTTTTAATCTGTAAAAAAGGAAATCGTACATATTAAACAGTATGCACGTTTTTCTGCCAGAGCCAAGGGAGTTGGCCAATTGTTTCTGGCCATTTCCCACCCATGAAGCTTCCAAGAGCCAACCTGCTTAGCTTCAGCAGTAGTACTGCATCATATGCTTTCAGATCATTCTCTGAGCCTCCTGAGCAGAGCAAGGTTTAATCAGCTGCAGCTTAAAAGCTAGTGTTGTTCAGTGCATAGATTTTATTATCATTTCATATGATGCGAGTGGGGGAGCCATCGTGACTGTTGCTTTAAGAGATTCAAATCAAGACTTGAGCCATTGCCAAACCAGTCACTGATACCTGAATGAAGGATAAGATGACCCCTCCTCATTCCATGTGGCACCCCTGAACAATTGGCAACTGACTCCACCTTCAGCTCTGGTGATGAGACAGCATCTTCACACCCGAAGGCAACAAATTAGCTGACAGAATGCAGGGCAGATAATGTGGCTCACTCCAAGCATCTGCCACTCAAGTCATCTGCCCCATTCCACCTAATGGTAGGGCTGACTTTGATTGAGCTTTCCCCATCTGTGTTTCTTTTCCACTCTTCCTGTAATGCTTCATGCAAACAACAAGTGATGGAACATCACTGCACCATGACCTGATTCAACTTGATTCCTATCTCACATCACATATTGTTATCTCACGGGGGCTGAGCAGGACACAGAGCAATGATGCCGTATCATGTATTCTATTAGAGAGAAGCAAAAAGATAAGATTTCTAAAAAAATGTTACAACTGTCTCTTGACAATTCCTTTTGGGAGGGAGCAAACCAGTTGCTTAGAAGGGTGATGAGTTATTTAGTCAACAGGAGCTGGAATATTGTTCTCTGATAAGTTAGGAATTCCTCTGTGGATTTCAATAAGTTATTCATCAGAGTTTGATGAAGATGATGCCTCTCCAGTTAAACAGAAGGGAATAAATATAATGCCATATGTGAAAAACAGGCTTTTGAAAACACAACAGCTACATCTTAACATTTTTGGCTAGAATTAGTGGAAACCCGCAGTGCAGTCTTGAAGGGTTGCCTGTATTATTCTCTGGAAAATCTTCCACTTTGCAGGAATTCCTCTTTATCTTCACCCATCCCCATTTAAAGGTTTGCTCCTCCTTAATTTTCCAGTGCTCTCACCCTAAAGGAATTAATCCTGGTGACACTCCCTCAGTCTGGGAAATTGTTGAGTGCCCAGTGTAATCTTTCTTGAAGAAATTCAGAAACAGAACTCTGCCCTTCAGTTACGCCACATACTATAAGGCAAAATTGGGCTCCTCCTTACAACAGGAGAGTAAGAAGAGGCTGGGGGCTTTGTTAAAGCAAGTTACAATCTCCAGGGTGGGACCTGGCAACCTTAGATTAAAGTGGGGTGTGGCAATAAGGTAGACCTTACACTTTAAGTGTATCTGAACATTAAAAGTGCTATAAAGTGACTAAAAATAATTACTTAAATGATGCAGATTAAGACCATCTTCTGCTAAAAAAGCTGGAAATAAACCACACTGAACTCAGTAGGGTTTATTTCAGAGTAAACATGCATAAGACATGGCTGCGTAAGTTTTTGACAAATGATGGAGTAATAGTGGGTGTTCCTTAGTGTTTTCCCCCTATTTCTTCACTTTAGTTTAACACTACAATAAGCATAGCCATCTAGCCTTTCTTCCTAAAATGAATTTTGACAACATTGAAGGGGGAAAAAACCTATTCACACTAATCAGAACACATTTTTTCCCTATTTCCCAACATTTCCTCTGCCTTCAAATCACCTCAGTGTAAGACACCAAGCAAGATTTTGAGGAGGAATGATTAAAGCAGAACTTTTGGAATGGTAAATAACTTTTTCCAATTTTCTAAAAAGCAACAGAAACATTGTCCCCAGATTTATTTTAGAATAGTGCCTTCATTTCTAAGCACTCTAGCAGCAATAAATTAAATAGGATCATAACTATTTACTCTAATATATCATTTATGGACAAGTGCAAGACAAGGAACATACCTCGTATAAAAACCCTGAATTATACTGCATAAAATCATAACTGAAAATAACAATTAAAATAGCAAACTCACAATATAAACCATGACAAAAAGGGTTTTCTTTCTTACAAGCTGCTAAGACCTTACAGGGGGTTCTTGAAATAAACAAAGGCCTAGCGCAGACGTTTTTAAAGACTGCAACATTAGATATCTGCAGATTGCATAAATGTGTTGTGTCATATAATCATACCAAAGTTATTTGCAAACATTATACAAACTGGAATGCTTTAATATGAGACACAACCACATACATACGTTCATAAGAAAAACAGAGTAGTTATATAAAAATGTAATTGGGGAATGCATTAAGTTAGCAGTGCCATCAAGGGTAAGGGGAGGAAAAAAATATAGTTTTTGGAATGGGTACGCAAGCTATCTCCAGATGTTAAAAACTGAGGTTCCCTCCAGCTGGTACTCTCCAGATGTCTTGAACTCAGGCTGATCAAAAATATGTTGCTGACTCAAGCAAATTGCAGGACAGGGCTCCCTATTTCCATGTACAGTAGCTAACTGGATTGGCAATCTTTCCTTAGCGTGGGTGGGAGATAGCATCTTCCAATCAAGGCCATGAGGCATTCAAAGGAGGTTGCCTCATCAGAGGGCAGATTTCAACCCTCTTAATCTCCTAACCAGCACCATCTCTTACCCTCCGTGGATGGTTCATTATGGAATTGAAGTCCAGCACATCTGGAAAGTTCCGCATTTGGGAAGACTAGCTTCAAGATTTATCTGATTCTAGGGCTTTTTTGAGTTTTTTTTTTTTTTAAATACAGAATGAATTCCTGCCCATGTTAAACTAATCATAGCCTTAAGGAGTAGTGTGATGAATTTTAAGGTATTCTTCTTGCCAACCCCACATATTTTACAAAAAAAATAAAGAAATAATTTCTAAAGGCATGTTTTTCACTCATTTGAAATGTAAACTCGTTAGGGGCACGAAGGGGCTTCATGTCCTGGATCGCACTGATAACATTGTTGGCACTCAAGAACAAAGAAGAGACAAATTGATTTTTGCCTAGTTCCTATGTATTCAATGTGCGTCTCGCCTGATGAAATGATGCTTCTTTAGAATTTGCAGATGCTACTGACTTTTACCCCCACTCTCCTCCCCTTCCCTTTCCTTCTGCTGTGGCATCTCTTTTTCACAGTCTAAGCCCTCTTATTTCTGATGTGCCTCTGTTTTATTTGAGCTTAAATTGCTTGCGTTCGATAAAGCTATATTTCTTTCTGCTTTTGGTAATTCTGGCACCTCATACTCCCAAGGGCAGATTTCCACACGAGACGTTAAAGGTTTCTGTGAGTTATTAGTTGCTGACCTAGCAGGATTGGAAGGAAATGCATTCCCCGGTGGAGAGGAAGATGCATGTTTTGTCTGAATTCCCAGTTTATTGGTAAAATCTTTCTCTGTGGTTTGTATGGTTGCTTTGGGGGGCAAGTCCTTGGGATCTCCAGCACAAAGGCTCTCTGTATAATGTTTATTATTAACATTTTCACCTTTTGTCCCAGCAAACTCTTGCAGAGCTATGGGACTCCAATTGTTTTTTTCTTCCACCCCTTGTTCTTCTTGAATCTCCCAAGGACACACTTCACCTTTGTCTGTGCTCTTTTGATGGGGCAGCTGTTGCCCTTCAGCAGTCTTAGGATGAGATTTGCCCTTTGTTTGGGAAGGATGGAGTGTCTCTGAGTCAGAGGAAGCAATGGAGACATGCTTTTGAATTTTAGAATCAGAAAGCCCAGCTCCCGGGCTCTGGTCATAGATTTCCCAAGGACAAACTTCTCCTATATCAATACTTGTCTTCGTCAGGGATTTACCACCTCCTGCATCAGGACTGGACCTTTGTTGTTTCATTATCCCAGATTTATGAGGCTTCTTTGACTCTTCAGCATGGATTGAGTTTTTCCGATAGGAATCTTTATGGTCAGTCTTTTCAGAGCTGGAGTGCTTTTTGCTGACCTCTTTGCTCTTTGGTTGAGGCTTGTGAGATTTGACACTTTCTTCATTTTGCATTTTCCCTGCTAACCCCAGAGTTTTCTCTTTGGCACTGGCAATAACACTAAGTGATTTCTGTAACACAGATGTTCTTGGGTGGAGAGGTTTCTTATCTGCACTTAAATTGTGAGCACTCATAGATTTGCATACCAAAGGGACATTTTCAGTGGATACAGCTTCGGTCTTTTCTGCAGGTTTGGGGATTGCTTTTTTTTCAGAAAGAGAATCCAATAATGATTTCTCTGTAGTTGAACTAACTTCCCCACTTTCTGCGGTTAAGCTTTTTGACTCTTCAGTTGGGTCTCGGACATGGTCATATGTGCTGTGGGACTTTTTTAAGGAGAAAACTCTGTTTCTCAAAGATTCCTCCTTTGGTTTGATGTGTCCACTGGAATCTGGTGGGTTTTTCCTTGCCATGGCAATACTTTTGGAACTCCCATGTTCCAGAAGATCTTTTTCCTCCCGTGAACACTGCCTAGTGACGGTCTCAGGAATTTCAGTAATTCGTCTCATGATTGAGCGACCCAACCCTTTTTTTGAGCATCTCTTTTTCTGGAGGTGTGGATTGTTGGTGATCATTTTTTTCCTTTTATAGATCTCTAGTTGGGCATATAATTTCTTCAATTCATCCTGCAAAGTAATGGACAAGATGAGTAAGGATTGTATATGTCCTGCAAAAACCAATGCGTTGAAGTAGCTAGAATGTTGGTGGAGAAGCCAACTACAAATCCATGATAATCCTTCACCTATCAACTGACATAAGCTGCCTAGGATCATTCAAGTAGGAAGCTTATAAATAATTGTAATAAATCAATAAGTAAAAAAAAAATACAATTTGTTGCTCATATAATCCACATGAGTGAATGTATGTGTGAAGGAGAAGATTCCCAGAATTTTCCCTCAGGTGAATGCTTAAAAATAAAGTAGTAACTTAGCAGCCTGTGGCATCATTGCCTTAGAATTTCTCAGTCACACAGTTTCATAAATAATATAGATTATTAATTTTTGCTATCAACAGTTATCACTATCAACTTATCAGTTTGCATAAAATGAACAGTTAGTGTCAAACTTATTCATATATTCTGTGTACCCATTTTCTTGGTCTAAAACTCATTTGGATTTCTGCAGTCCCAATCAAATTTAGCAAAATACAGGAGATCATCTGTTCTGAAAGAAAAAGAAGGGGAAAGACTAAATTCAGTCTTTCATTCAGATTCTCTCTTCCTGAATAGATAATCAGAAAAATTGTGTACAGCCTGTTCCCCATTTATATACAGTATGATTTTTCTTATAGAATGGGGACGTCTTATGGAGGACACACACCATGATCCTAAAGCTCTTGAACACAGACAGAGAAATCACTGTCATATATGGATTTGCACAAGTTCAAAATCAATTCCAAGCCTCTCTGATCTTACAGCTTCAACTGGGTTGGGGAGCCAAACTGATTTCTTTCTGCCTCTGTGCCAGTTTATTTGAAACCAATGCTTTTTTTTTCCTGGAATCACTGTAGATCTGCAGAGCATATGAGCAGTCTATTTGCCCATGATGGGAACTCTTGCCTCACTCTGTCTCCTAGATCTTGTAGTATCCTATTCCTGGTGACTGTCTATAGATATTGTTTATAATTTATCTCCTGTTCTCTTCATACCAACTACGTATCAACAAGCAACCGATATTTGCTTGTCCCTATAGTTATAGATACTGGGAAAAAAATGCCTTTATAGCTGCAAGAGGTTTTTAGATGTAGTAAGAGTGGCAGCTTTGCAGCCAGGACGCTTCCTCTTATAGCAACCACTCAGGTTTTGGGAAGAGAAAACAAGAAATGCACTCAGCATGAAAAATACAATTTCCCTTTTGTATGTATGGGAGATAAGGGAATTTTTGATACTTTAAGAAAGGCAATGGCTCAAGACAGGGCACTATTTGAATGGCATTTTTGCACCTCTCTATTGATCAGCTGGAGGGAACATATGGTGTTTTTTACTTGTTCTCAGGATTTTTAGGTTGGCAGATGTGTGAGGATGATTGAAAGTTTCAAAGGGATTGAAACAATTACTGATTAAAAAACTAATGGTGCCAGAAGTGAGTTTAACATCATTGCACAATTAGTAACTCCTAGATCAGAGACAACCCAGGCCCAGAAGTCATCAAGTCACAACCAATAACTGTACATCCAGGCAAAGCTGTAATGATGATTCAGCTCTTTCTTCCCCAGAGTAACTGCAAAACTTTAGTGACCCATGAAACCACGCCTAAGGGAGATCGTTAGCTCCACGTTAATAAGTTGTTCTTTAAGGTGCTCCAACTAAGGATTCTACTTGGCTCCCTTTTTTTCATTAGCGAAAGGCTAAAATCTGAGAGGAGTCAATGTATAAAAGGCTTCAATCAAATCTCAGCCCGTGGCAGATCAAGCTGGTTATTCCATAGACTCGCAACGATCTGTCTATTATTTCATTCCTTTCTATTAAGATGTTAAGGTGGGGGAATGATTCTTTAAAAAAAAACACCAAAAGGAGCTAGGGCAGTTAGGCTTTCCCATGTGTGATGGTCCCAATCTGAAATGGGTCATTGTTTTCTCTCAAAAATTTGGGGGGAAAAATTCAGGAAATGAAGTGGCACGATATACCCTGTGTGTATCATCTAATCTATCCTTAAGTAATCTTGCTACTGAATTCTTTGTTTAAGGCTATAACAAAAGCATTTTATGCAGTTCAAAAATATAATACACAATACTGTTCTTGGTTACTTTGGAATAGCATTAGCTGCATGGTAGTTTTTATGAGGGCTGACTTATTCAGAATGTTGTCTATATAAAATTGAAATGTTTCTATACAGTTTTTAAAAATCCTTGTAATTTACTAAATTGGCATGTACCCTAATATCTTCTGGATCCAAACTATGCTCACTCCATGCTGAATTGATACTACTGTTCAGATAAGATCCAGATCTTCCCATGTCGAGCTCATCTTCATAGACTTCAGTGGCTATATCATCTCGTGGATTATTGCTTGAATGGGAAAACTGTAAGAATACATTAGGTTTTTGCTGTAAGTGAATATAATGGAAGGGTAAGCATAAGAAAGAAATCAAGGAAAGTACACTTGTTCCCCCACCCACCCTCAGTTTCATTTGGGAAGCTGAAACAAAATTTGCAAGGCACATTTTGGCACTCAAAAACTTAACATTAAGCTGTTTCCTAATTTAATGAAGAACAGTTGCTGGATACTGATCTGGTGGGAAGTCAAAGTACATGTTATCAGGCAAATTAAAGACTGGAGTTTCTGCAAGTTACAAAGGAACCTGGGGTGGTTGGACAGGGACAAATTAGATTACAGGTAGTCCTTGTGTTACAACCACTTGTTCAGCAACCATTCAAAGTTATGATGGTGCTGAAGGAGGGGGACTTATGACTGGTTCACGAAGTTGTGGCTATCGTAGTGTCCCTGTGGTTATGTGATCATGATCCAGGTGCTCAGTGACCAGCTCACGATTATGATATCACAGCAAGCAGTGGTGACATGATCACAATTTCTGATGTTCCCTGCCAGCTTCCCACAAGCAAAGTCAGTGGGGAAGCCAGCAGGAAATCAGAAGTTGTTCCCACTCCTGTTGCTTTTTCACCTGTCCACGCTCTGTACCACCTGCCCATGGAACCCCCTGCGCCACTTGTGTGCCCACCTGTGCTCCAGAGTGCCTGTCTGCAGCACCCACCACCACCCCAGGGCACCCATGCACCCACCCATGCTTTGGAGCGCCTGCCCATAGCACTCCCTCATGGCATCCGTACTCGCCCCTATGCTCTGGAGTGCCTGCCCATGGCACCACCCCATCCCCCCATGGCAACCACACACCAGCCCATGCTCTGGAGCACTTGCCTGCAGCACCTCCCACCCTCCACAGCACCTGCGCACCAGCCGGGGACTCCTGCCTGGGATTCCTGCCTCTTTCCATTTAACAACCCGTGTGGTCCTGGGGTTACGACGGCAAGCAGAATTGCAGGACTGCTGTTGCTAAGCGATGCAGTCATGTGATGTTGTGCTTTATAAGCAAATTGCTTAGCGATGGAAATTCCAGTCCCAATTGCCATTGTAACCCAAGAACTACCTGTATATTTTTTTCACAGCAACTGGGGAAGGTGATTTAAATTGTGGAAGCAGCATAGGGAAAAGGATCGTCTCTCCATCCAGATAATTGTTTCAGTCAAATCTAGAATCTTCTAAAACCATTTAAATATATATATATATTTAAATGGATTTTTACAACAGTATGCGTGTGCCTTCAGGTCTGGCAAAATAGAAGTGCAAAGGAATAATACCTTTGGGATCAGAAGTAACCCAATGGTGACTGTCACAGTCAAGTGTGTGTGTGCAAAGTATAGCATCAGCATCCAGTCAGACTGGAGTCTTGAAGCAAGACTGAACCTGCAAAACAGAATTGCACGTAAGTAACAAATGCACCTTCCTCCACATTTTTCCTCATATGGAATAATAGTTTTTAAAAAACATTCTGAACGACATTTATAGGGAAAAAAATCTGAATATGAAGATATTAGCCTTGCATTGTTCTATTAAACATGGAGGTTTCTGTACCCATTTCTCAGCACACGTACTCACACCCCTTGATCCCCATTTTGTTATGTTGTATTATAGTGCAAATGTGCACACAGGTATCGTGTGCCTTTTGCCCCATTGTTGCTCCTGTTTTTGGAAAAAAGTATTAGAAAGTACAGTATGATAGGAATGATACTTCACGTTTTCTTGGAAGAAACTGTTTATTTAGATTCCTTTTAATACAGCTTCAAACCTGGTTTTATTTAATGGGATAGAATTAGATGGGGGAGAAGAATATCTTTGTTGATTCTGCTCAACCACAATATTCCGCTGGGTCATCTGTCCATTATAGGATTAGGAGGTATTATGTTACAGTAACTGTGATTTCATGACTCCAGACAGCGATGCAGAGCGATTACTGGTAGGGCCCTCAGCTAACGTGACCTGTGGCATTACTGATTTTCATATCCACAACTTCCAGGACAAGCTGTATTTACCATAATCCTCCTGAGCCTAACAGAGGCCCTGTGGGCATTCTCAGAAGTTAAAAATAATGTCTGGAGGTGTGTCTTCCTACCAGAATAGAAGTTAAATATACATTGGAATTCACGGATGATCTGGGGATATTGGTAGAGGGGAAAGTGGGAGGCAATTTCACCACTTCACCTTTTGGTAAATGGGTGTTTTGTATTTGCCAAGTCCATCCTAGCTGCAATTTTGATCTGATGTCAAATTCTAAATGTCTATCCCTATTCTGCAGTGCACATCTGTATGAAGCTATTATGGATTGGTTATCATAAATACTTTGATGATACCTAACTTTATCTCTTCCTTTCAGTTAATGCCAAGCGGAGCCTAAATCACTAATAACGGATTGGTTATGGACTTAGAAATTGAAGATTAATCCAGACAAAACAGAAGATAAAGTGATCTTGGATATGTTGCATTTTCGGTGAAGGACAGGGTTAGCAATCTGTAGTGATCTTAGACCCAGTATTGCTCCTCAATACTCAGATAAGTATATCCAGCTTTGGAGTGTACCAGCTACTTATCTGTCAGAATATGGATTTTATAAGTTACACACACCTTAGTCACATTGTGATTAGAATATTGCTGCACACTCAGTATGGGACTATCTCTAAAGAAAGTGCAAATGGTGTAAAATTCTATTCTTATTACAATTATACCGTCTCAGTTGCATTGGTCCTGAATTTATTCTTGAATCCAATATATATTACATATCACACCATCAACAGATGGTCTATCTCACATGAACGTATACATCAATTATTTTCAGATCTCGCCATGCAAAGATGTGTGGTGGTGAAAACAGGAGACATGAAAAAACCCTATTTGCAGAAGGTAACAGGCAGACACTGTACAATTTGCATTCGTATGAGACTATTTGTAAAGCTCTCCTTAATTTGTCTGGAACAAAAAATGTTTCTGTCTGTACCCTTCTGACATGCATCTCAGCCCAGTTAATTGTTTTAGACTACATTCTAAGAACTTAAAAATAAAAAGTGTGGGTCACTTGCCTAATTATATGGAATATAGCAGAGATAAGGAGCTCAATGTGAACTGCAACAGCCATATAACGTGGCTCGTGAAACGCCGAGGGTACTGTCCGCACTGCATAGCAGAGATAAACGCTCCACAAGAGGAATAAAAATTCAGCTGAAAAAGGAATAAATGTTTCTATTAGCATTTGGGGAGAGGCAATTTGAAATGACCAGTCCGTCCTCTTTTTCTATTTGGAAACTTACTTATGCATATGTGAATATACTTTCAGGTATCAGAACGGTACGTCTATCACAGAATGCTGCTTAACTTCTTCCATAATCTTCAACCATCTGATGCCTGCAGTTTTGCATATTAAACACACCTATAATATTTATTTCAGTAGAAACATAATCGTTTCTGTGGTGCAACAGAAGATGAGATTTACTTTCTTCTATGACTGGCATAGAAATTTAACATGGATATATTGGGTTTGATTAGCCTACGCCAGTGTTTCTCAACCTTAGCAACTTGAAGATGTGTAGACTTCAACTCCCAGAATTCTCCAGCCAGCACTGATAGGACAAATCCGTGCCGGCTATGATGGAAGTGAATTGCTTATCTCCATGCCCATTGTAAAAACATATATTGTTTCAACAAATTTATTTGGGGCTGCACAGAATTTTAGAATCATGGAAAGAGAAGGGAAGGTGTAGGCCAGTGTTTCTCAACCTTGGCAACTTGAAGATGTGTGGACTTCAACTCCCAGAATTCTTCAGC